TACAAAAGCTACATAACAGAAGCCACCCGGTAAGGGCAGCCATTGTCATACTAAACCCAAGTATACGTGTAATCGAAAGTCAAGATTGGATTACAGAGGACATGGTTGGATTAAAAATCATCGTTGGCAGTGAAACGTATACTTTTGTTAATGTTTACCTAGATAAGATGCACAACATTGAACAAACCATGAACACTCTTCGTAAAATTGTTGACTCGACTGGAACTGCCAACCTTCTCATTGCGGGTGACGCCAACGCCAAAAGTCAGTGGTGGGGATGTGATACCGAGGACGAACGAGGCAGCAAAATAATGGACACTTTTGCAGAGCTTGGGATGGAAGTCCTCAATCAAGGGTCGCAGCCGACATATCTGGTGTATCGACAAGGACAACCATGCCAAAGCATCATTGATATTACGGCTTGCTCGTCACAGATCCTCAACAAAATTACAGACTGGCGGATAAACCCAAGCCTCTGTTCGTTATCGGATCACATCCCGATTACCTATAACCTTAAAGTCACTACAAACCTTGATACACACTCTGGTTCGTCCACACGGGTATTCTATACTGCAAAAGCCGACTGGAACAAATTTGAAGAAACACTTATTAATAACCTCCAACAACAGAATATCAACACTGAAACAATATTGAACACAAAAAACACTACTGATCTTGAAAATTTAATACAGAAATTTCATGACGCTCTAACCGGTGCTTGCAACGACTCGATTCCCAAGCTACAAAGTAAAAAATGTACAAATACTGCAAAGTGGTGGACTTCAGACCTCTCTAACTTAAAAGCAGAACTTAAGAGAAGCAGAAACAGAATAAAGAAGGCCAACGCCAATGCTAGAAGCTTTGTAGTAGAGGAATACCTAAGGAAAAAAGAACAATATAAGAAGGAGATACAGCAAGCGATCACAAAAAGCTGGAAAGAATTCTGTACGGGTGAAGAAAGAGAAACGGTCTGGCAAAGATCCTACAGAATCATAAAACACTCCAGCAAAGATGTCCGCGAAAAACTGCTAACAGACAATAACGGTACCGCACTCTCGGCGGATGAGTCTGCAGCCCTCCTAGCCAACACCTTTTTTCCAGAAGACGATCCCACAAAAGACAATCACGAACACACTCAAATCAGGCAAAAATCAATAGAAATCTCTTCAAAGAATCTTCCCATCAACAGGCAAATTGATCTTTTTACGGAACAGGAGATACGCTCAGCACTGCAGCATGCCAACTCTAAAAAAGCTCCAGGTTCGGACGCGTTCACTGCAGATATTTGCCAAAAAGCTTTTAAGACATGCCCAGAAGTATTGTTAGCGATCTATAACCGGTGCCTTCTCCTGAGTTACTTCCCTGAAGTATGGAAGGAGGCCCATATAAAGGTTATACCTAAACCTGGCAAGGAAGATTACAGCATTCCTAAGTCATATCGACCCATAGGCCTTCTTTCACTATTAGGGAAGACCCTAGAGAAAATGATTGTGAAGAGACTACAGTGGGACCTTATTGGTCGGGGCTCTTTACACCCCAACCAGTACGGCTTCCTTCCACAAAGAAGTACAGAGGACGCACTATACGACGCACTGAGCATAGTTAAAAATGCCATAAAATCTAAACAACTGGCAGTTATCGTCTCCCTCGATATTCAAGGAGCCTTTGACACCGCTTGGTGGCCCACTATTATTACACAGCTGGATACCATGGGAATCGACAAGGACTTATTACAACTGATAACCTCTTATTTGTCGGATAGGAAAATAACTATCAATTACTCTGGTGCAACAGTTAACAAGAAAACTAATAGGGGCTGTATCCAAGGATCGGTCTGTGGACCGATTCTCTGGAACGTACAATTGAATCAGGCACTTGAACCCTCCCAATATGACGGAGTACACATACAAGCCTTTGCAGATGACATACTCCTCATAGCCCAGGGTAGCACTGGAGAGGAGGTGGAGAGAAACTTGAACCAAGCGCTTTCAAAGATACTTCAATGGGGCAACAAGCTTAAGCTCAAATTTGCCCCACACAAAACGCAAGCAGTTCTCTTCACCAAGAAACTCAAGTATCATACTCCTAGGCTCGTGATGGACGGAACATCTATTGAACTGCGGGATGAAGTTAAGGTTCTCGGTTTAACCATAGACCGGAACCTTAACTTCAATTCTCACATTCGCGCTGTCTCTGCAAAGGCTTTAAACATATATAAATCAGTGTCTAAGATGGCCAGGGCTCACTGGGGCCTAAATCCCGGTGTCCTCAAGTTAATTTATCAATCAGTTGTAGAACCGACCATCCTTTATGCCGCCAGTTGCTGGGCCCATACCACCTCGAATCACAATGTTGGGAAAATTCTTGACAGAGTCACCAGGCTCTTCGCAATCAAAATATGCAAAGGACATAGAACTACCTCGTTCTCTGCCAGCGTGGTGCTTGCGGGGATTCTTCCCCTCAAAATTAAAGCGATCGAACAGGCCGAGTTGTACTTAATTAAGAGGGGAGAACCTTTGGGAGCGCTGCCTGGCAGAGAATTTGAAAGTCGCACACCGGTCTCCTTACTACCACATCCAACCAATAGAAATACAGTTCCTTTTAAAATCATAAACAGTCAAACCGAACTAGATGAGGTTATAGATAATAACTGGCCGAGGTTCTATACTGATGGCAGTAAGATAGAGGGTAAAGTCGGCGGCTCTGTCACATGTTGGATCGATGGTAAAGAAGTGTACTCAACCAGCTTTCGCCTGGAAGATTTTTGCTCCGTCTTCCAGGCGGAACTAGCAGCCATACTGAAAGCCATTGAGACAATGTGCAATAAGTCCAAATTCCATACTGCAAACATCTTGAGTGATTCGAGATCAGCTTTAGAGAGTATTGCAGATCCATGTCCACTCCACCCCCTCACCATGAAGATCCGGCAAAAAATTCAGAATCTCCAACAATGCGGTGGAAAAGTATGCTTCTACTGGGTAAAAGCTCATATAGGAATAACTGGCAATGAGCGCGCGGACGACCTCGCCAAGACAGCGGCTCTGAAAAAGAAGACAAGGCCCATATATGATCGGTTTCCTCTAACGTACGCCAAAAAGGTATTAAGGGAAAAATCACTAGATAAGTGCCAGAAATTATATATAGAATCCAACACAGCAGCCGTAACAAAAATATTCTTACCAGATATTCGCAAAGCATATAAGATAGTAAAGGAAATAGAAATAGATAATACAATAACTCACCTTCTCACCGGACATGGGGGAAACCGATCATATCTTCACAGGTTTAAACTTATAGATAGCCCCAGCTGTCAATGTGACAGTGAAACCCCGCAAACCATACAGCATATACTTTTCGAATGCCAAAGATTCGCTAAAAAACGGTTTGAGTGCGAGTTCAAATTGGATGCAACACTGTCTGAAAGCAATATGGAATACATATTTGAGAACAAGGAAACCAGGAATATATTCCTTAACTTCGCAAAGTCTCTGTTAAGGGTCGTGGCAAGAGAGAATGGA